ACCGTGTTGGCCAGGATGGTCTCGATCTCTTGACCTCGTGATCCACCCGCCTCAGCCTCCCAAAGTGCTGGGATTACAGGCTTGAGCCACCGCGCCCGGCTAAGTTTGACATCTTATGTGGGCTTGGTTCATGATATCCCAAAACAATTACACCAGTAATATAAAAAATTACCACATAGTACTACAACAGATAATAATAATGAAGAAGTTTGAAAGAGAAGAATTACCAAACTGTAACACAGAGAACACATTTTGTTGGAAAAATCATGCTGATAGACTGGCAGACACAGTTACTGCAAACATTCAGTTTGTAAAAAAATGTAGTATCTGCAGAGCACAATACAGGAAAGCAAAGTTAAACAAGGTATGCTTATATAAATTTATTTACCAGATTTTATAATATCAAAACCTAGTAGTATCCCTTAAAATTTATAAGAGTAATATCTTTATCACAGTGAGCTCACTACCTCATTGGTACAGATGTTTCAATAAATTTAAGATTGAGACAAATTCGTAAATTCCACCTCCATACTTTTATCAAGGTTTTGGAGTCAGAAAGGGCCTTGTAGGTTTTCTAGTTCCTGATGTTTAGGTATGAAAAAATATCTGGAGTATATCTGTAATGTCATGAAGAGTAACAGTCGTTCTCACAAAATGTCTCCTGATACCCTGTTTGAGACATTGACCTAGAATGGTCTGGGTCGTGACGCACTATGATGCTTCTCATCTTGTGAGTTACAAATTTTTCACCCACTTGGTGGCCAGAAACAGACCACATAGAGTTTTGATGCTCTTAGACAGTGTGGTCATATAGGTAATTGTATAGTTGCAGTTATAAATCCTATTTGGCTAAACGTAGGCTCTGACAAATCTTTGAAGGTGGGAAGTCTCTTGAATTGTAACCTAAAATCTTTAAGAAAGAAGGACAAATGTTGAAAATCAAATTATTATTTTAAAAATAAAATTGGGGTGAATGGTTAATGCTGACAGAGCTAAAAGCGCCATCATCTGGTCCAGAGTAGGGGATTTCACACATTGCTTCTTGGCAGTAAACAGTAGAATCTCAGAGGTGCGGAAGCCAAAAACCTCTGCAGAACAACTATAACCTCTTCCTGAACAGCCACTTCTGTTGCTTGGTATACAGAATAAAAACTTTTTAAAACAGGGTTTAACATGTCTCAAAATATATTTGAAAAGTTCTCACCATAGGGGAGTTGTAGCCTGCTGCTTCATTTGTTGTATATATAACATATATATTCCAAGTGATACATATGCACATCCGTATAAATATGTACGCATATCCACTAAATTCTTTGGCATAAGTTATTTCTAGTTTTAGATTTATTTTGCTAAAATGAAAACCAGCCATCTAATTTATACCTTAGTGAAAATAAAATGAAAATGTTTATGAAGAAACAGCTTAAAAGCATTCTTTAACTAGGATGGTTACATATTTTTGTTTTTTAAATTGAGCTTTCAGAACTATCTCTAGGACAACAAAAATTGTGGGAAGAGAATAGAAAATACTTAACTGGAAGAGAAATGGCACTTTTCAAACAAGAAGAATTTGAATTTCATCTAAGAAAGGATAGAAAATAACGAGCAATGTAACTTGGTGCTTCATTCTTTCTGAAACAGCACAAAGCAAAAACAAAGTGGAATTTCATATTGAATTTTTCATCTAGTGCCTCAGTAAACTCCAGGCTAGTTTATTTCAGTGTCAGGTGCCATTCTTTATACATTGGGGATCAGGGAAGGTAGGTAATGTTTCTTTAAAATAGTTAACATTGGCCAGGTGTGGTGGCTCATGCCTGTAATCCCAGCTCTTTGGGAAGGCGGGTGGATCAGGAGGTCAGGAGTTCAAGACCAGCCTGACTAACATGGTGAAACCCCATCTTTACTAAAATTACAAAAATTAGCTAGGCATGGTGGTGCATGCCTAAAATCCCAGCTACTCGGGCGGCTAAGGCAGGGGAATTGCTTGAACCCGGGAGGCTCAAGCTGTAATGAGCCTAGATCGTATCACTGCATTCCAGCCTGGGTGACACAGCAAGACTCCATCTCAAAAAAAAAAAAAAAAAAAGATAGTAAAATCTAGAAACAATGTTGAGTCTAGTTCTCAGAAAAATTACACAAAGGAGAGGAAAATTGTTTTTATAGTAATTGAGTTCCTGTGAAAAGGATTAAGCAAAGGTGGTGTCCTTACAACATTTTTGGGTCTTTTTCTAACACTAATTAGAGGCAACAGGATATGAAAAGAGCTTGGCCTAATTTGAATCCTAGATTTACTACCTGTTAACTATGTGATCTTAGGAAGTCATTTAACCTCTCAAAACTTTGGTTTCCTCATCTATAAAAATAGAGTTGTAAATTGTGTGAGGATTAAATGAAATAAAGTGTAGAACCAAAACCACCTAGCAGACAGTTTGGGAAGATGAAATAGTGCTGCAAATGCCTGGTGGTGATAGTTGCACAACAGTGTAAATGTACTTCATGCTACTGAACTACATACTTAAAAATGTATTAAATGGTAAATTTTATGTTGTGTATATTTTACCACAATTTTAACAATCCACCTAGCATATGGTAGTTAATACTGATTTTTCCCTTGCTTTCTTGAAAGATAGAATTTTCTTTTAATTCTCAAAAAATAACAAGTTGTATAGCAGGAGATGTTTCATAAAGCTGTTTTAAATTGCATTCATAATTCACAGTAATGTTTATATATTTTGATTACTATTTGATTCAGCCATTCTTGTTTGGAACTATTCTGTCTCCAAGATCTTGAAGTAAGAGCTTCCCGTCTCTGACCACAACCTCTATCTCAATCTGCAGCTATCACTCCTGAGTCTGCTTTGTGACCTCATTTTGACCTATTTCTAGCCTAGCTCTATTCTTCTGAGTTGGCACACCCTGTTACATTTGTTTTCTTGAGCTCTACAGTCAGCAATTACAGTGTCCTATGAAACCATTGTAGATTGTTTCTCCTTTAACCTTCTGCCATGTTCACCGTCCCAAGCTCCAGTCATACTTTTTTCCTGTGTTTAGCTTGCTGAACGTTTTGGAGAAAGTTCTCAAATAAGCCCATTAGCACTTTAGATAAGCTATCTCATTTAATTCAGTCCCCATAGCATCCCTGGGGAAATATTATGTTACTCACTTTATGGATGATGGAACTGAGGCTTAGAGTGGTATAGTGACTCACCCATGGACACTTAGTTTTATATATAGTTTTGGGATCTGAAACCAGGTTTGTCTGATATCCAAGCCTACATTCTTCATATTCCTTTGGCCCCATTCTCTACTATGTTTTCCCCACCTTTTTTTCTTTTTTTAGTAACTATAGGATAGACCTTTTCTACTCTTAGACTTTAAACCAACCACCAATCATAGTAGATAGCTTAACCCACTTTACTGAAACAATTGAGGGCATCCAGCAGAATCTCCTTCAACATTATTTTCTTCATATAGGCATTCATTTCTCTGCCTCATTGCTGATAAAGTATCTTCCTTTGTCTTACTGATTCCACTTTCTCGCCTGGGCCTTGCTTTATGATTTATTTGTATTCTGCCTCCTTTGAGATATCCTTTCATGTTGATTATTTTCCCTCTACCTTAAAAAAAAAAAAAAAAAACTAAAAAATATCAATTAACAGTCTTATAGTAATTGGTGATCTCAGCGAGAGCCATTTCAGGGGAGTAATGAGTACAGATTCCAGAAGACAGAGAGTTGATAAATGAATAGGAGACAGGGAAGTTGAAAATGATGAGGGCAGACTTCTTTAATGAAGGCTTATGATGAAATGGGGAGGGGCTGTATGATCAAAGGACTGTTTTGTTTTGTTTTTTTCCCTAAGAAATTGAGTAGATTTAAACATGATTACATACTTTAAAAAAAGAAAGGGAAAAAAAAAGGGAGAGGTTTGTAGAGTAACACCCCAGACTGAGATTCATGAGATTAGCCTCAAATGCCTTTATATACAGACTATATCCATCTTTATAAGCCCAGCTGAAATGACACGTCTCTGCAACTCTTTTTGATTGGTTCAGGAGGAAGTTTTTCTTTCTTCTCTCATTTCCTGTAGCAGCTTATACATCTCTCATGGTATTTAACACACATTGTCTTGAATGACACTGTAGTTATTATGAGCATTACTGTCTGGGTTGGATTCCTGGCTCCACCACTTACTAGCTGTGCGATTTTGGGCAAATTGCTTATTCTCTCTGTACTCAGTTTCCTTATCTATAACATAGGGATAATATTAGTAGCTACATCACTGTTACGAGGATCAATACCTGTAAAGCTCTTAGAACATGCATTTTTCTTCTATTAAATTGTAAGGGTTGGCTGGGCACGGTGGTAATCTCAGCACTGTGGTAGGCTGAGGTGGAGGCAGTGGGGAGCAGGGGGTTGCTACTACTCCAATGTAATTGCTTTCTCAGAAATTAAGGCAAAAAATCTTAATGACCATGTAAAGGAAATCCAACAGAATTATACACAATCTCTGTCTTTAAGAAGCTTATAGTCTGGTTAAGGAACCAGACTAAAACATATGAAAAGTTAAACATTTAGTTAATGGTTCTAGTAGTAGGCCATAAAGGAGTACATGATTAAATATGTTACATTGTACAGACAATGATGATTCTGGAATTTAGAGAAGGGATTTACTTTAGTCCAAGTTAGTCAAGGAAGCCTTTATAGGGCTGGTGGAATTTGAACTTAGCCCTGAAAAGTGAGTGAACTTCAAATCAGAGTGAGACTAATCCAGATTTCTTGTTGATGAGTTTTACAGTACTTTGTTGTCCTTTAATTTTTTTCTTAAAATAAAATTTTAATGAATTTTAATTATTTTTTATTTTTAATTACTTTTTAATTATTTTTAATTTATTTTTAATTACTTTTAATTATATTTTCTACTATACATATTGAAGTTTAATAAAAACTTGAAAATATTTGACATGTCACTTGCCTTCAGTTTTCTATTTCTGTATTGTTACAGGCATCCCAATTTTCAACTGCTAAAGGAAGGACAAAGGTATGGATGAATTAGTATCATTTACCATCTATTTATTTATGTTAATAGAAACATTAGGAGTGAACCAGGTGGTATGAGCTGTTGGACTTCCTGTGCTGATGCATTATGTAAGTGTCCCATTCTAGCCCACACAAAGAAATATTTGACCTGTTCAGCTTTTTCTTTTGTGATGGTAAGATGATGTGTTTGACCTGTATGATTTATTGTACAGCTGTTCCTACTGAGGAAATCTAATTTAACCTGTTGAAATATGACACAAATACAGCCTCCATCTCAGATACTGTGCTGCTTTGTCAACTAGATTGTGCCATTACATTTGTTGAAAGGTGTTTATAGTCCTATAGGATTTCAAAACCAGTAATGTATCAGTTACTTAATAATTTAAAGAGCATCTAAAGCATTAATATAAATTCCAAGTTGTGATTTTTTTTTCTCAACTTTCCTCATGGTATTGTTTGCCTGACCATGGCCATCTCTCAAAACACATCCCTTAACTCTCAGAATAAATGTTCCTAGTTAGTAGTCACTACCTTAGTCAGGTCATTGGGCACAAATAAGATATATCTATTTATTGGTGTATATCTTTTAACTTATACCTTCAGATTAGTATAAAAACATATAATTGCCTTAAAATTCCAAGAGGAAGTATGAAATACATGAAAGTTAAATTGTTCTAATTTTGTTGAAGTTACACCTGTTTTTACTTTTCTTCTGATGTAAGAGACAGCACCATGGCTGTATGGGCTAGATTCTAACTAGAAGATGGTATCTAATTCTGAACTAAGTTTTCATCTTTTTTCTTCATTCCCGTCCACAACCTTGCTTTCACCTTTTTTTAAATCTATTTTTTTCCTTTACATTTCCCCACAGCATACTTCTTGACCTAGAGTGTTTTTCATCCTGATCTTTTAAAGTTTTGATATGTGTCTATGCTTGAGGGCATCCTTGTTTGTTTCAAGTTTGTATAAAATAAGCATATATTATATATATATTTTATATATACGTATTGTATCTATATAAATATATATATATAATATGTATATATTATAAAGATTAAAATATATACTTCATATATATTGATACATATATTTTTGCAACAACAGGCAAATCCAACTACTGCAGTAGGATAGCATTATCAAGTTTTTAAAAAATTTTTTGTTATACTCTTTTAACAATTTTTAAATAATTGGGGGAAAAAGACGAAGGAAGAAGAACTATATCAAAAAATATATTATTAATAGATATAGCGAAATTATAGGCTTCTTCTGAAATTTATGTATCAGAAGCTATAAACAAGGTTTTATCTAGGGAATTACAATTTTTAACTTGAAAGTTATAGTGTATAAATACTATGGAGTACTTCACTTTCCTATTGTTTTGGGTTTTATTTGCTATTTATTATTTAATTATTTTATTTCTCTTTCATTTTACAGTTGCCATTCTGGAGTAGAAGTAGAGTTATGCAGTAAAGCCATTAAAACATCAGATATACACTGTCCTAGCCACTTTGAAAAGCAATATGAATCTAGTTCTTCCAGCACTCATAGTGATAGTAGCAGTGATAATGAGCAAGACTTTGTTTCCTCCATTCTACCAGGAAACAGACCAAATTCAACAAGTATTAGACCACAGCTGCACCAGAAAAGCATAATGAAAAAGAAGGCTGGCCCCAAAGCTAACTCCATACACAAAGACAAAGAACAGACAGTAGTAGATGTCACTGAGCAGTTAGGCAATTGCAAATTAGATAGTCAGGAGAAAGCTGCTACAGGTGAACTTCCTTTACAGAAGGTAAATACTGAGAATTCTTCAAATAGTACTTTGCCTGAAAGATTAAAAGCTTCAGGTAATTCTGAAAGTAAATACAGTAGGTCAGAAATAACTCTAGTAGGCATAAGTAAGAAAAGTGCGGAGCATTTTAAGAGAAAATTTGCCAAATCAAACCAAGTGTCTAGGTCAGTATCTGGTTCAGTGCAGGTGTGTCTTGAAGTTGGAAAGAGAAATTTACTTAAAATTTTGAGGGAGACTTTGATTGAGTGGAAGACAGAAGAAACTTTGAGGTTTTTGTATGGCCAGAATTATGCTTCTGTGTGCCTGAAACCCGAAGCCTCTCTGGTTAAAGAAGAACTTGATGAAGATGACATAATCTCAGATCCAGATAGTCATTCCCTTGCTTGGAGGGAATCTCAGAACAGCTTGGATGAGTCTTTACCTTTTATGGGCTCAGATACAGCCAGTAAACCACTGCCCAGTTACGAGAACTTGAAAAAAGAAACTGAAAAGTTAAATCTGAGGATCAGGGAGTTTTATAGAGGACGATATGTTTTGGATGAAGAAACCACCAAATCACAAGACTCAGAAGAGGTATGTCTTACAGGCATTGAGTTTTTCCAGGTCATTAACATTTGGAAAACTCACCACAGCAAATCTTGGAGCAGGAGGGATATTGAAGAGATAATTGTTAAATTTTCAAATCGTTTCTTTAGTCATTCTGCCTTTTGGTTTACAGTGCCATCTCCATTGTTGGCATTGCTATTTTACAGATAACGTGCAATTTTTTTCTAATGTAAAAATATCCTAAAATGGTGGGACAAAGCTTTCCCTAATTCTACAAATAAGAAATGAAGCCTCTGAAGAGGCTTGTTTTTTCTTCTTCAGTATGTATTCTTTCAGATTTATACATGGGTATGTGTGTGTGTATGTTTAATGGAAGTATATGCTATGGAATAGACTTGCTAGTTACATTGGAAAATATTTAGCAAGCATGCCCATTTAAAATATTATAGATGAAAATAATTTGTAAAAGAGACTTACTGGGAAAGAATGGACAAAGAGAATGGAAACCACATTCAGATAGACCTAGATTTGAACATCTGTTTTGTCATTTACTAGCTGTATGAAAAATGAGTTTCTTGCTCTGTTTGCTCATCTGTAAATGGGACTATTAATAGCTTCTCTTGCTCAACTGTTATTCATTTTAAAGATAATGTTTGTAAACGGTTTATTACAGTACATGACATATAATTGGCACTCAATAAATAGTACCCATATGTAGAGATTGAAAATGTGCCACTGAGATTTAGTATTTCAACTACCCATTTTTGATTGATGTGTACTCCCTGGAAAATAAAGTCATTTAACATGAAGAGGAATGGGTAGTAACCTTGTTTTTACCACAAAACTTTATTCTCAAAAATTGCTAAGTAATTGTGGCTCTAAATTTAAAAGCACATTGGAGATTTGGAAAGAGGGTAGAAGTAGAAACATAGCAAAAGATTTAAAAATGTCTTGTATTTCTATGGAGTGTTGCCTGGCCCAGCGCCTTACTTCAAATCATTTCAAGTATGTTATTAGACATCATCTAAAACTTATATTAAGCTGGGAAAAGCATTGATCTCTGTCACTGAGGTGCATAAACCTACCGTAGAAGATCACTTATTTTATCATTTTGTGCATTTTAGCCTTAAAAGGGAAAAAATAATCCCTGAAATTTGATTTTTTGTAAATTTATAACATTTTCCAAAAATATTACATAACATTTTAAAACGTTTTCACTGAGGTATAACACAAATAGTAAGTATATGATTTCTTGAATTTTCACATATGAATATACTGATGTAATCACTACCCAAGCCAAGAAATAGATCATTACAAGTAAACTAGAATCCCCATATATATCCTCTCCTAATCAGTACCTCTTTTCAAAATTAATATTATATTAGCACAGATTAGTTCTGTCAGTTTTTTTGACAGTATATATTCTTGGCATCCAATTTATTTCATGCAGTATTATACCTTTGAGTCATATGTGTTGTTGCATAGAGCTGTACCTCATTCTCTTATTGCTGCATAGTATTCCATTATATAAATACACCATTTATGCTAATGGACATTTAGATTATTTTGAATTTGGGGCTATTATGAACAATATTCTTACGAACTTTCTTGTATTTATCTCTCTGCTATTATGCATATGTATTTCTGAAGTATCTAGGACTGGGAATGCTAGGTTATTACATTTGCATGTCTGCAACTATACTAGATAATGCCAGTTTTCCAAAGTGGTTGTACCAGTTTACAGTTCTACTACTACTATATGGGAATTTCCTTGACTCCATGTCCTCCCTAGTACTTGATATTGTTAGTTTTAGCCATCCCAGTAGTATTGCTTTGTGATTATAATACATTTCTGTGATGATTAATGAATTCAGCACTATTTTATTTGCTTATTGACTACTTGGGTAGTCTCTTTTTTGAAGTACCTATTCAAGTTTTTTTTATTATTTATCTGTTGGAATATCTGGAGCAGGCGTCCCCAAACTACGGCCCCCTGAGGCCATTTATCCGGCTCCCCACCGCACTTTAGGAAGGGGCACCTCTTTCATTGGTGGTCAGTGAGAGGAGCACAGTATGTGGCGGCCCTCCAACGGTTTGAGGGACAGTGAACTGGCCCCCTCTGTAAAAAGTTTGGGGACGCCTGATTCTGGAGGGTTTAAAAAAATGATTTGTAGGGATTCTTTATGTATTCAGGATTCAAGTCCTTTGTCAGTTATATGATGTGTTGCAAATATTATCTTCTACTCTAAGACTTGACCTTTTGATCTTTTTAATAGTGTCGTGAGTCCAGTTTATTAATTGTTCTTTTCAGTACTTCTGTAGTAAATCTTTACTTAGTCCAGATTATTTTATCTTCTAAAAGCTTTGTTGTTTTTCCCTTCACATTTAGATCTGTAACTCATCTGGGATTGATTTTTGATTATGGCAAGGAGTATGGGTCAGATTTCATGTTTTCCCATATAGATAATCCAATTTACCCAGCACCATGTATTAAAAAGTTTCTCTTATCCCTGTTCTGTAGTGTGGCCCTTGTGATAAATCATATTTTTATAAATGTGTGGGTTAATTTGTCTATGTATCTATCTCTGGGCTAGTATCATGCTGTCTAATTATAGTAGCTATATATAGTCACATACTGCATAACAACATTTCAGTCAACAACGGGCCATATATACAATGATGGTCCCATAAGACTGTAATGATACATTTTTACTATGCCTTTTCTATGTTTAGATACAAATAATTGCCATTGTGTTACAGTTGCCTACAGTATTCAATACAGCAACATACTGCCCAGGTTTGTACTTAACAGCAGTGGGCTATACCATATAGCCTAGGTGTGTAGTACCATCTCAGTTTGTGTAAGTACACTCTATGATATTTGCACAATGACAAAATCACCTAACAACACATTTCTTAGAATGCATCCTTGTTGTTAAGTGACAAATGACTATAAAATTTTAATATCTGGCCGGGCGCAGTGGCTCACGCCTGTAATCCCAGCACTTTGGGAGGCCTAGGCGGGTGGATCATGAGGTCAAGAGATCGAGACCGTCCTGGTCAACATGGTGAAACCCCGTCTCTACTAAAAATACAAAAAATTAGCTGGGCATGGTGGCGCGTGCCTGTAATCCCAGCCACTCAGGAGGCTGAGGCAGGAGAATGGCCTAAACCCAGGAGGCGGAGGTTGCGGTGAGCCGAGATCGCACCATTGCACTCCAGCCTGGGTAACAAGAGCGAAACTCCATCTCAAAAAAAAAAAAAAAAAAAATTTAATATCTGATAGAAATAGCTATCTTTAAAGTCTGCTCAGTAACATTTCATAGTTCTCTGTGTAGAGGTCTTAAACATATTTCATTGCATTTATTCCTAGGTATTTGGGTTTTCATATGCTTTTGAAAGTGATGTCATTTAAAAAATTTTTTTCTAACTGATGTTTATCTAGAAAATCAATTCATTTTTGTCTGCATTAACCTTGTAGCCAGTAACATTGCTAAACTTACCTAGATTATGAAGTATAATAATTTATAATAATTATCAATTCTAATAATGTGTAGATTCATTTGGATATTTTACATATGTGGCCATGTCTTATGTGAATCACAGTTTTGGTTTTTTTACATTCCAGTTGTTATTCCCAGTATTTCTTTTCCTTGTCTTGTTCCACTGCTTTGAACCTTCAGGACAATGGGCTTCATTGTCTCATTCCCTATCTGAGAAGAAATGCTTTAAATCCCACTAAGTATGATGTTTGTTGTGGAGGTTTTTTGTATAGCCCCTTTATCTGATTATAAAAGTTTTTCTAATTGACTAATTATCATTATCCTGAATGCATATTGAGTTTTATTATTTTTCATGGGTATAAAGATTATTATATATGTTTTATTTTAACATTTAGTTTTTAAGTTTATTTTTTACACAAATAAATTCATGCCTCCGCCTCGTGACCATCTAGGATTACAGTGTGCACCAACATGCCTAGCTAATTTTTTTTGTAATTTTTGGTAGATATGGGGTTTCAACATGTTGGCCAGACTGGTCTCAAACTACTAGCCTCAAGTGATTCACCCACCTTGACCTCCCAAAGTGCTGGGATTACAGGCATGAGCCACCACACCCGGCTCCCAATGTGTAGTGTTTTATCCGTCACCCCCGCCCCCCGCTTTCTCCCTTGTCCCTAAAGTCCACACATAGGAATTGTTTGGACCTGGGAGATGGAGGTAGCAGTGGACTGAGATCACACCACTGCACTCCAGCGTGGGCAACAGAGCAAGATTCCATCTCAAAAAAAAAAAGAAAAAGAAAAGAAGATTACACACTGGGTACAGTGTACAGCGCTTGGGTGATGGGTGGCACCAGAATCTCAAAAATCACCACTAAAGAACTTACACTTAGCAGGGGAGTGAAGTGGACTTTGTGAGGGTCCTTGGTTGTATTTTTTTTAAGTGCACTGATTTTGTATTGGTTGGCCTCCAGCCAGGAGGTGGTGCTTTCAAGAGTGCCTCAGCTGCAGAAATACTACTGCAGGGATACAAGCTTGCCCTTGGGTCAGGCAGTGGGCGGGGCCATAAAGCTCCCAAGAGATTAAGTCCTTTGTCTGCAGCTACCAGGGCCAGTAAAGAAAGACTATCAGGTGGGGGCATCATTTGGTGAGTCTGAGCTCAGAATCTCCTTGGGCAGGGCTTGCTGCGGCTACTGTGAGGGATGAAGTTATGTTCCCAGGGGGATTATGGCTGACTCTGGTGTGTCAAACAGGTCACTAGGGAAGTGGGGGAAAGCCTGTAGCCACAGGCCTCACCTAGCTCCCACACAACCTGCAGCCCAAAGGGCCAGTCTCATTCCCACTGTGCCCCCACAACAGCACCAAGTTTATTTCCAGGCAGCTGATGAGCAGGGCTGAGAACTTGCCCCAGGCTACAGGCCTCCCAGCTGAGAAAGCAAGCTGACTCAACATTTCCTCGGCTTTTTAATGTTTCTGCAATAGTTCTTGGAGCAAAAATTCATGATGTGAGTCTCCACATACTCCACACCCAGTGGGAGCTGCAAATTAGTCTTGCCTCCTATCTGCCATTTTTCCCCAGACCAAACATTAATTTTTAATATTAAACCAGCTTTGCATTCTTGTAATAAACTCAATTTGATTGAGCTATAATAGCCTTTTAATATAATACTGGATTTGGTCTCCTAATATTTGCCTTAGAATTTTTGCACATATTTTCAGATTGAGTGAGATTAGCGTATGAATTGGCCATGGTCTCATCATAAATCATATGATGCAAATTAAGTAATTTGAGGAAAGTTTAATTACAAGATTGTTTGCCAAAGTGTGAAAATGGGGTCAGAGTGAAGAAAACCAAAGGAATAATACGCTAATCATAGTTTGACAGCCCTCACCACCCCTAGACCTCAAGGAAAAAGAGAAGTGGACCATGGGGTCTTCCAAGGAAGTGCTGCAGGTAGTGGACCAAGCAGGAATTGACTCTTCTGCACCATCCAGTTTGTTATTCTTCATTGGCAAAACTCAGATAAAAGCCAGAGAGCAAGGAAGCCCAATGATGCGGCCCATGCAGATCGGCCTTCTGAAGTACAAAGACAGGTAGAGAAGGGTGAAATTTTTTCAGAATGAAGATACCTGGCACTGCCTATAATTTTCCTTTCTGATAATATCTTTATTAGGTTTTGGTTGTAATCATTTGGTAAAACAAGTTGGGAAATGTTCTCTCCTTTTCTGGAAGAATGTGTCTAAAATTAATGTTGTTTATTTAAATGTTTAGAATATCACCCATTGAACTATATTTTCCTCTGATTTTCTTTGGGGGTTTTCAATTTTTTAATTTTTTATTTTTTTGAGATGGAGTTTCACTCTGTCACCCAGTCTGGAGTGCAATGGCACCATCTTGGCTCGCTGCAATCTTCACCTCTTAGGTTCAAGCAATTCTTCTGCCTCAGCCTCCCAAGTAGCTGGGATTACAGGTGCCCACTGCCATGTCTGGCTAATTTTTGTATTTTTAGTAGAAACAGGGTTTCACCATGTTGGCCAGGCCAGGTTGGTCTTGAACTCTTGACCTCAAGTGATCCGCCCACCTCAGCCTCCCAAAGTGCTGGGTTTATAGCTGTTAGCCACCACCCTCATCGGTGGGTAGTCAAATTTTTTTAACTTTTTGTTACGGAAATTTTCAGACATACACAAAGATAGACTAATACAATGCCTTACTATACAATGTGTGGTCCATGGAACCACTAGCATCAGCATCACCTAGAAGCTTGTTAGAAATGCAGACTCTCATCCCCACCCCAGATCTACTGAATGAGAATTACTTTTTAATGAGATCCCCAGAAAATGTGCATGCCCATTAACGTTTGAGAAGCACTGTTGGGGTGTGGTGGTTTGGGTTTTGGTTTTGGTCTGCTCATTCCATCAGTCACTGAGAAAGATGAGTTAAAATCTCTCACCTTAATTGTGGATTGATTTTTCCTCCTTTTAGTTCTGCAAATTTTACTTTTTGAGACCATGTTATTGGCTATAAATGTAAAATTGTTATGTTTTCCTGGTAAATTGAAACCCATATCACTATGGAGTAGCCTTTCTATTCATTTTCTTTCTTTACAGTTTACTTTGCTGACATTAATATTCTTGTATTAATGTTGTCAAGGACAATCTGTCTAGATTGATAACCTTTGTTCTTTATGTGGAGAATTTAATCCATTTGCATTTCATGTCATAATTCGTATACAGTATTTGGGTTTAAATCTACCATTTCACTCCTCTTTCTATGTGTCCCACTGATTATGTCTTCCGTTTTTTCTCTTGCTTTTTTTTGTATTGGATCATTATTCCATTTTTTAGCCTCCGTTAACTTGCTTTTGTATACTGTTTTGCTGATCATTAAATGGTTACCCTAAAGGTTAAAACCCGAATCTGTATCTTATTAAAGTCTAATATAAGTTAATACTTTTATTGCTTCCTGGACAATTAGTACCTTAGAATGATTTAACCCCATCTATCCCTTCTTGATTTCTATTATTCGATATTTTTATTTTCTGTATATTTCAAATACTACAAGATTATTTATAGCCAATACTCAGCTGGATTATCAAATTAATTACTCTCTCATTGTTTCTCATTGCTTCTATCCCCATTCTTCCATCTGGGATCATTTGCCTTGTGCCTGAAGAATATCCTTTACTTCTTTTAGTGCCAGTTGATAATGAATTTTCTCAGTTTTTCTTTGTCAGCAAATTCTTTATTTTACTTTCACTTTTGAAAGATAGTTTTCCTTTTTTTTTTTTTTTTAAGACAGGGTTTCACCAAGTTGGTCAGGCTGGTCTTGAACTCCCGACTTCAGGTGATCCACCCTCCTTGGCCTCCAAAATGCTCGGATTACAGGCATGAGCCACCACGCCCAGCCGAAAGATATTTTTCTATATTGAATTTTAGATTTCTTTCAGCCTATTTTCTTTCAGCCTATTGAAAATATCATTCCCTTGTCATTCCATTTGTATCTCTTATTGCTACTCTTTTGAAAGTATTGTGTTTTCTTCCTCTAGCTTCATTTAAGATTTTTAAATAAGTTTTGGAATGTTCTCAGTTATCTCTTAGATATTGCTTCTATTCCATTCTCCCTCTTCTCTTTAGTCTTTTTTACTGTATCTTGTAGGTCTCTTAATCTCCTTTTGTGCTTTATGTGTTTGGGGAGTGGTGATTGCTTCATTCTGGATATTTTCCTATTCGGCATTCTCTCTTCAGTCACTTCCACTGTGCTCTAAAGTCTACCCATTAGTTCTTTCTTTTAAATACTGTATTTTTCTGTTCTAGGATTTTCATTTTGTTATTTTATATAATTTCCAGTTCTATGTCAAAACTTTTCAACCTTGTCATTTTTCTTCAAATATATTAAACATTTTAAATAATGCTGATAACTTCATTATCTAGATTCCCTGAGGATTGATCTCTGTAGGCTGTTTCAGATTTTGATCATATTGTCTTATTACATTCCAAACATTGTATGTTTGCTTCCATAAGCAAATATAAATGATTTGTAGCAGTTCCATATCACTGTAATCTAATTAGAGATTAAGATGATTTCAAGGTGGGATTCACTCCCTGAAAGTGAAGTCTTTCCAAGTCCTGGTCCATATTTGCGGAGGGTCTTTCCAAGTCCTGGTCTCATATTTGGGGAGGGTTGCCCATACTCCTCCCTTCTTGAAGGATACCCTGAACACTTTTTATTAGAAGAACTGCTCAGTTTCTCAGAATCTAAATTGAAAATTAATACCCTATCTGGAATTGCCTTCTCCAGGATCTCAGCCTGTAATTCTTTACAGCCTCATTAGCTCTCTGATACTAACAAATGTGTTTCAAACAAATGTGGGTTTTTCTCCCCAACTTTTTTCAGTTCGCAGAGAGAGAGTTGGTTTGAATTGCCTTGTCTGCCATTTCTAGAATGGTTAGAGGTCAAATGACATGATGACAGAACTCCTCATATTTATAGCATTTGCTAATTTTAATATTTTAATCCCCTACATTTATATAGCATTTAGCAGTTTACAAAATCTTTTTTTCTTTTCTTTTTTTTTTTTTTCGAGACGGAGTTTCGCTCTTGTTACCAGGCTGGAGTGCAATGGCGCGATCTCGGCTCACCACAACCTCCGCCTCCTGGGTTCAGGCAATTTTCCAGCCTCAGCCTCCTGAGTAGCTGGGATTACAGGCATGCGCCACCATGCCCAGCTAATTTTTTGTATTTTTGGTAGAGACGGGGTTTCACCATGTTGACCAGGATGGTCTCGATCTCTTGACCTTGTGATCCACCCGCCTCGGCCTCCCAAAGTGCTGGGATTACAGGCGTGAGGCACCGCGCCCGGCCCTACAAAATCTTTTTTTATACATTTTATGATTTAATAAAGGAGGTATTAATATCCCAGTTACACAGATGAGAAAACTAACTCTCCAAAGAGGGCAAATGACTCAAACAAGTTTACAACAGCCTAAGGACTGAGATGATACTCAAATTTAAATCTAATTCTCAAGTCTAGTTATTTGACTACTCTGCCACAGATATAAACTTTTGTGTTTTAACGTTTATTGTTCTACTTATCAAAGAAAGATTGTAAACTTATGATTGTTTTGCTTTGTTTGAAAATATGATTCAGCATGATTCTACCTTTCCACTGATAGACTCAAGTTCCCAGAACCAGATTAGAAAACGCATCGTACTTGAAAAGTTGAGTAAAGTGTAAGTATGTAATTGCCATTCCAGCTTTTTAGCATTTTTAACTTAACATTTATAAGCTCATAATGTATAAGTATTATCCTAAAATTTTGAACATTTTGAAAAATAATGTGAAAATTTTATGTGGATTTCTTCACTTGAGAAATTTGAATTTTTAAGATATCCCATGTAACAAATAAAAATTTTCGTGTAGGAGACAGAGGTGTATCAAAAAGAGGAAGGTTGAGATTGCGGGTATGGAAGACCAAACTACCTTACTCCCACTTAATCAGTGAAGTCAGGGGGAAAATATCAAAGCTAGACCCATTTAAATGCTGATTTGCAGTACATGTGTCAGAGCAGTTTCACATATGAATGTTATTACAGAGTTTTCAGGGTGTTTTACATCACTCTGCATGTATATTCTTGAAACAATTTCATACTCAGCAACTTGAGTTTTTGTTCAACTCAACGTTGCACTTTAGCTTTGAACTTCACGTGCTGGAAATTATTGTTCTTGTAATTAGCCCAGTCCTAAATGACATTTAAAAATGGCTATCTTGGTTTTTCTTTCAAAAGGAAATTGAAGATTTTTTTTTCCAGAGGTATAAGGGCTGTATTGAATTTTTCAATCTGCATTTTCTTATTTTAGGAGAAAACATGGAAAAGTGTATCAGTCGTTGTTTAAGGGTTGTGAATATGAAGTTTTATTTTGTAGCAGTTTGAAAATAAGGAAAACATTTCACATTAACCAAGGCACAAAGAAGAGTCAAGACAAAACTAATTATGGTATAGGAGTTTTTTGTTGTTTATGAAAGGTGTTGGGTTTTTTTCTCATTATCAGAGTTAGACCTTTTTGGTTTTTATATTTGAACCAACCAGTTGTAAAAAGTCTTTATTTTAGAGTATTAGAGGAAATTAAATCTGTACTGGATATTAGATGGCATTAAGGAATTGTTAATTTGGTTGGGTATGATCATTTTATTGTGATTATATAAGAAAGTACCTTTGTATTTAGAGATAAAAATGGAAATGGTTAATGGTCAAATGACATGCTGACAGAAATTTACTTTAAAATATTACTATAAAATAAAACAAACAAAAAAAAAGGCCAGGTGTGGTGGCTCATACCTGTTATCCGAGAACTTTGGGCAGCTGAGGCAGGGGGATCACTTGAAGCCAGAAGTTTGAGACCAGCCTAGGCAACACAGTATGACCCCATCTCTAAAAAAAAATAAATAAAAATTAATCAGGTGTTGTGGGGCTACTACTCAGGAGGCTGAGATGGAGGATCGCTTGAGCCCAAGAGTTTGAGTCTGCAGTAGGCTATGATTATGCTTATGATTAAACTATTCGCCATAGTGGCTTTTCTAATTTATGTTCCTACCAACACTGTATTAGGGCTCCCTTGTCTCCACATTTCTCACCAACATTTATTATTGCCTGACATTTGGATTATGCCACTGCACTCCAGCCTGGGTGCTGGAGGGAATAAAAATGAAGCAAATATAGCAAAAATTAATAAATTGAACCTAGAAATATATGTGGGATTATTACTATTCTTTCTATTTTGGAACATGTGTGAAACTTCCATAATAAGAAGCTTTTTGTACTGTCACACTGATCTTAAAAAGAAGCTTAAAAAAAAAAAACACATACTTTAGAAGATGAGGCAGTACAAAATGGTTTAAAGAAGGAAGTAAAATTTACCTGTAATCCCACCACTCAACAATGACTATTAATATTTTGATGTATATCTCTGACATATATATGGCATATGTATATTCATTCTATTTGGTTCTCTCTGTGGATAAACCTAGAAGGAATGAAATATGTTTGATATGTAATGTATATGAAGTACAATAGTATTATATAATACATGTTTTTAGAAAAATAGGACAATACTATGTACACATTTTTCACTTCACATCTATCATGAATATCTTTTTATATTAAAAACATAGATTCATATTATTTTAAATGTCTTATTCTATTATGTGGGTATATCATAATTTATCTAACCAATCACCTATTGATATATATTTGTTTCCAGTTTTTCACTCTAAAACTTTCTGCAACAAGTGTATTTTTTATGTTTCTCTGACTATTTCCTTAGATTAAATTTTTTTCATAGTAAAACTATTGAGTCAAACACACTTAAACTGTTAACATATATTGTCAAATTGCTCCCTAAAAAGGTACTAATTTTCACTCCCACCATGAGAATTTAGTAAGGAAAAATAAACTCTCAGATTAGACCATTTTAGGGACAGTTGTGTTTTTTCCATCTTGGTCTAATATTTGAAAATAAACAGATAAGTAAAACTAGGGACAGGAATTTAAATAGCTGCCAAAATGATTTTGCATTTCAGTGCTTCACACTCAATAACAGACTACAAAGTGGAATGTGGGGTTACTATGAATGTTTCCTTATGAGTTCTCACCAGTCATAACCTAGGTTAACTTTTAAATATGACTGCTTCCACATAAATCCCATTATTACCTATGGAAAATCCAGATCTAGGCATAACCCAAAAAATGTTTCCATATAATTGTTTTAAAATAAACGTAATTTTTTTATTTTCAGATTGCCTGGACTTCTGGGTCCTCTTCAGATTACGTTGGGAGATATTTACACACAACTTAAAAATCTTGTTCGAACTTTCAGGTTAGTGTTAATATTATAGTTTTCCTTCTTAATTATTTTGACTTTATTTATTGCCTTGCAGAATCCATAGGTAGACTAAGGTACAAAGAACATAAGTGACTTACTTTCAGTGTCACAGATCTAAATACAGTATTCTGTTTTCTCCTCCACTAAACAACATTATTTCTCTCTTCTATTGAATACAACCTTTACTTACTCAACCCATTATGTATTTCACTTTGGATAGTTTATTTATGAAATAGCCTAAAATTGAGAAGGAAACTTACATCTGTGACACAAAGCCAGTAATACTATGGGGTTTAAGTGAAATAGTAAATATATATTGGATGACCCACACTGTGTTAGGCACTATGGGCAATGTAAAAGAAGCATAATGCCACCCTAAAGGAAGAACTCTCCTGTGTGAAGATCACATGAGTACAGTGAACAGTACAAGACAGTGGGTAATTTAATACTGAATTACACAGAACAGACTTAAAGTGCTAAGAACTATAAAGGAAGGGAGAATAGAGTATTGATATCAATTGTGAGTGAAACTGTTGTGATTTTTCCTAAAACTATCAAGATAAAAATACTGAATCAGGCTAAGACTAGGTTCTCTCTACCAAGACGTATAGCAATAAGCCTTTAAATGCCTTATTAGTAGAGGTGTACCAAATATACATTTTGGGCAAATGCCAGTGACCGAATATTAAAATCAACATTTGCCTGTGGCTAATGTTGCACTGACACAGAATAAACTTATAGGGTAGATTAATTATCTCATCCAAGAAATTTATCATATATATTTATTATTATAGTTTATTGCTGTCAACAGTAGCAGTCAGATTTTAAAAGTGTAAAAACTACAGTACAGGAACAGTTTCTTGGCACTGTCAGCTGTGAGATTTCTCTTACAGTCACATACTGTACATTGGTAACACCTAATAGACAATCATTTTAAACTGGCACATTTAAAAACATTACTAAGCTTTCTGTACACCAAAAGTAATTCAGGAAAAAGTTTTTCAATAAGGTTTTTACTAGAAAGAGGTTTGTATATAAAATTCATAGTTTAAGGCAAACCTCAAAAATTCTGTCTTGAAAGAACTGTCTTTATTTGCTAAAAAGGATTATTTGTAATAATTTACATTGATTTTCTTTTAATATTATTATTATTATTATACTTTAAGTTTTGGGGTACATGTGCAGAAGGTACAGGTTACATAGGATACACTTGCCTTGGTGGTTTGCTGCATCCCTCCCCCTGTCATCTACATTAGGTATTTCTCCTAATGTTTTACCTCCCCAATCCACCCATCCCCTGCTATCCCTCTCTTAGCCCCACCCCCGACCCCCAGACAGGCTCCAGTGTGTGATGTTCCCCTCCCTGTGTCCATGTATACTCATTGTTCAACACCCACTTATGGGTGAGAACATGTGGTGTTGGTCAACTTCCTGCAGACAACACTTAATCACCATTCTGAGCAAACTGATAAAGTTACTCTGTACATATCAGAAAAGATTAGAATAAGCCCTCTGGTCTTCAGCTACACTTTTTTTTACCTAGCTTATGTAGAATAGATCAACTAGCAATTTAGTTTACTTTGTCTGTATTTTGTAGAAGAATTTTTTTCTATAGATCTAATTTGATGTCTTTTTAAAAAACGATTCTAGGTTCTCAAAACTTACTAGAAACTTTAGGAAAAAAATGTTCAGCTACCCCAGATACTTCTGATTAGTGAGATTTGCTCAAATTTAGAGGCTGACTGGAATCACCTGGGGAGCCTTAAAAATTGCCACCTTGGTCCTACTCTCCCCACCTTCCCATCCCCCAAGGGTTCTGATTTAATTGGTCTGGCATATGGCATTCAAGGGACAAGATTTTAATGCTCTCCAAGTGATTTTCATGGGTAGTCAAAGCTGAAAATATTCTGCTCTAGGGCATAATGCAAAATGATAATAATAATAATTTAGGGACTAATACCTCACTGACCTTCCCAGTCCTTTGGTTTTCCTGCTTGCTCCCTTCTGGCAGCCAGTCAGTAATTTTAGAACTTTTACTGAATGGAGACAGATAATTGTGACATTTTTCTATTGTAGTGATTCTTCACGGTTGGTTTTTTTCTCCTACATCTAAGGACCTCTTTATTTTTTCACCATAGAATTGTTAAGCAGTGGCTGAGTACGGTGGCTCATGCCTGTAATCCCAGCACTTTAGAAGGCCAAGGCAGGCAGATCATGAGGTCAAGAGATCGAGACCATCCTAGCTAACATGATGAAACCCCATCTCTACTAAAAAATACAAAAAATTAGCCAGGTGTGGTGGCACACACCTGTAGTGCCAGCTACTCAGGAGGCTGAGGCAGGAGAATGGCTTGAACCTGGGAGGCAGAGGTTGCAGTGAGCTGAGATCACACCACTGCACTCCAGCCTGGGCAACAGAGTGAGGCTCTGTCAAAAAAAAAAAAAAAAAAAAAAAGAATTGTTAAGTAGTGACTAATTTGTATTTCTTAAAATATTATTATTATTAATGAAAAATACAGCCAGGCACATTGGCTCACACCTGTAATCCCAGCACTGCAGATATAAGGAGACAATTCAAATGTCCTTTTCCTCTTATATTTATAAACTATTATCACTTTTTTCTGTCATTCCTGTGTTGTGACTTTAAGTTCCTTCCAGTTACTTTGTGCATTATTTAAAGACTTGATTATATGACATCTGAGATTTGCTTCAAAATTATCTAGATTAGCAGTGGTGTTGAATATGGGGTTGTACAGATGAAACATGGCTAACCGTGAGTTGGTAATTGTCAAAGTTGTGATGTGTACATAGGAATTTATTTTATATTCTCTCTACTTTTATATGTTTGAAATTTAATAAAAAGTTTTGGGAAAATAAGCCCAAAAAGTATGCATTATTTTGGTAGGAGGTGTTATAAAATTCTCTTCTAAAAACCTTGATGTTAATTATTTTTGAAAATCTATATTAAGTCAAAGTTTATAGCTTTGACAAATATTGCTTAAATTGGCTTCACTGTCCTTTGGAAAAACGTCAGTTGCTTAGAATACAGAATGTCTCTGATAAGATAGCTGATTTGGATGAAGTCTTCAGATTCCAGATTCTGGACAATGTTGGCAGGTCTGTGACAGTTTGTAGGGTAGGGCTGCCAGGTGAAGCCTCTGGAAAAATGCCATATTGATGACAGTAACTATTGCTGAGAAATCTTTTCAGTGAATACTGATAGTGGGAAAGAGTTGACATAAATAACCCTATCCTTCTCTCTGAAATGACAGTCAATAATAAGAACTTGTAGAACAGTGATTCTCAAGCCAGTTGTGCATCAGAATTACCTGGGGAGCTTTTAACAACTATAGATGTCTGGCTCCACCCTAGAGATTGAGTTTCATTCGGCTAGGGTTGGGCTCAGATATTAGTATTTTCTAAAAGCCCCCTAGATGATTCTAATGTGTAGCCAGAGTTGAGAGCCTATTTTGGGGCCTAAACATAAAGCAGCTTTTTCGGCTCTTTGTAGAATTTCCCCAGTGAATAGAGCTGTCCTTTCCACTGAATTGCATTACAAATCTGCTACCTAGAATGTTACATTTGTTTACCCGTCATAGTGTAAAGCAGGTTTCATCAGAATCTGCTTGATAATGATTTACTGTTGAATCAACATATTTTTCTAAATTAGATTTTAATTAAAATATATTTTGACAGAAAAATCAATTTTAAATTTCATCAGTGATGAATCAAGGTATTTCAATCTGTATGAATTTCAAACTATGTTTTGAAAATATCTGCTTTTTATTTATGTTTATTTTTGAGACAGAGTCTTACTCTGTCACCCAGGCTGGACTGCAACTCACTGAAACCTCTGCCTCCCAGGCTCAAGGAGTCCTCCCACCTTAGCCTCCTGAGTAGCTGGGACTACAGGTGCATGCCCAGCCTATTTTTGTATTTTTTGTAGAGATGAGGTTTCACCATGTTGCCCAGGCTGGTCTCAAATTCCTGAGCTCAAGCGATCCACCTCCTTCAGCCTCCCAAAGTGCTGGGATTACAGGCATGAGCCACCATGACTGGTCTGAAAATTCTCTGCTTTTTAAATGTTTTCTATCAAATATTACTGTTTCCCTTTTGAATTGTCACTCAAACAATAGTAAATATATTCATTTAGCATCTGCGCTGGAAATTATTTTGGCTCAGCAATAGGAAAAATATGAAAACAGGTAAAATTTTGCTAGTCTGCTACTAGAAGTACTTCGAAGTGAAAGCAAAACATTACTTGTGTTCTCTCCAGTGCCTGGAACAGTGATGATACAGCAGACACTCTAAATAACATTTTTGGTGAATATATAAGTGAATTATGAAATCTTAAATCTGTCTTAACTCTAAGAGATTTGAGTGTAATAAAAAGGAAATACTTTTTTTTTCTTTTTTTTTGAGATGGAGTCTTGCTCTGTCACCCAGGCGGGAGTGCAGTGGCGCGATCTCACCTTACTGCAACCTCCACCTCCCGGGTTCCAACGATTCTCCTGCCTCAGGCTCCTGAGTAGCTGGGATTACAGGCATGTGCAACCACACCCAGCTAATTTTTTGTATTTTTAGTAGAGACGGGATTTCACCATTTTGACCAAGCTGGTCTTGAACTCCTGACCTTGTGATCCGCCCACCTCGCCTCCCAAAGTGCTGGGATTACAGATGTGAGCCACTATGCCCGGCCAGAAAAGGAAATTCTATACTTTTGACATTTTATATTATATGCTTATCCTTCTTTGAGCTAGCTCCTTTGGCTATATGCTAGATACTGTTTTATTTGCTAGAGGTACATCAGTGAACAAAACGAGACAGATCCCTACACTCATAGAACTTACATTCTGATAGAGGGAATACATAAATATGCCCTTTTCCTTTTCTCTGTCTATTCTTCTTTTTCTCACCCCAGAAGCAGGGAAATTGGATGGTACTGAGGAAGAAGGCTGCACTTTTAAATATACTGGTTAGGGAAGACCTCATTGAGAAGACACCATTTGTGTAAAAACCTAAAAGGAGGTGAGGGAGCAAGCTGTGTTGCTGTCCATGAAACTATAGCAGACAGAGAATAGCACGTTCAAAGACTCTAAAGCAGGAGCAGCCCTGGTATATTTGCAGAATTTTAGGTTGCTGGTGAGACTAGAGAAATGAATGAGCAGAAGCAAAAGTGGAAAGAGATGTGGTCAGAAAAGGATGGGATTGGGGTTGGGTGTAGTACAGACTGTATGGGCCTTATATCTGTGATCATTCATTGACCTTTACTCTGAGTGAGACGGAGGTCAATTGGTAGATTCTGAACAGAGAAATGACATGGTCTAACACACATTTTTAACAGCATCATTTTGGCTGCCCAGTTGATAATTACAACAGATGGGCAGATGCAGAGAGACCAATACAGCTATTAATAGCCAGGACTATTTTCATAATCTAGGTAAGAAATGGTATGGCTGAAGAGAAAGTAGTGGAGGTAATAAGAAGTGATCAGATCCTATTTCAAAGGTAGAATCATTAGATTTGGTGACTGGCTGGACATGGGATGTGAGAGAGTCAAGTTTAATCACAAGATTTGTGACCTGAGCAAATGGATTCTGGAAGGATAAGGTAAGCCATTTACCGAGATGGGAATGTCCACAGGTCCTACCTAGTTTTTGGGGAAAGATGAAGAGCCCAATTTTGCCTCTACCAAATTTTGAGATGCCTGTTAAACATCCAAATAGGAGTGTCAAGTGGACCAACAGATATAGAAATCTGGAATTCAAGGAGGAGGTCCAGGCTAGAGGTAATAAATTTGAAGTTGTCAGCACATAGTTTCTAATATTTAGTCATAAGATTGGATAAGAGTGTTTGCTTATACAGGAGAGAAGAGACCTAAGGCCAGAGGCCTTAATATTAAAAGGTCTAAGGAGAGTGCTCATGAAAGATTCAGGAACCATGCAAGTGAAAACCAGGTGAAGAAAATGTTTCCTGGAGAAGGGAATGATTGTCAAATGATGGACAGATTAAGATGAGGGTTGAGAAATGGCATTGTCTGTTGGATTTGGCAGTATGGCTGTCTTTTGTGCAGTTAATCCTCACAATAATTTTATGAGGTGATATTATTGTCCTTATTTTACAAAATTAAGTTCCACAGTCATCAAATACCATGTCTTATTACTACTGATAACAGATCTGGGTATTAAACCCCTATCTCTCAGACTGTAACCATTACACATTGTACTTCATTTTAATTTTAATTTTTATTTTATTTTATTTTTTTGAGACGGAGTTTCGCTCTTGTTACCCAGGCTGGAGGGCAATGGCACGATCTCGGCTTACCGCAACCTCTGCTTCCTGGGTTTAGGCAATTCTCCTGTCTCAGCCTCCCGAGTAGCTGGGATTACAGGTATGCGCCACCATGCCCAGCTAATTTTTTGTATTTTTGGTAGAGACGGGGTTTCACCATGTTGATCAGGATGGTCTCGCTCTCTTAACCTCGTGATCCACCTGCCTCGGCCTCCCAAAGTGCTGGGATTATAGGCTTGAGCCACTGCGCCCGGCCTGTACTTCATTTTTATATCATCTAGGCTTTTTTAAATTTTGGAGAACAGGAAAAGTTCAGATTAATATAACAATATACATTCTCCACTCAATTAATAGACTTTAATATTTTCTAAAATTTGATTCAGATATATATTTTTAAATAAAATAAAACATTATAGATTAATTTATTCAAAAAATATTATTATGCCTACTGACTGCCAGCCACTTGTTCTGCGAACTTGGAATAAATAGTTAAGTACACAAAGACTCTTGGCCTCTGACAAGAGAAAACAGAAAATAAACAGTAATTATATATTAGAAGGCAATAAGTGGTATGAAAAGAAAAAAACATATAGCCGAATAAGGAGGTCACAAGTATTGGGTTTGGGAGGTAGAGGGCAAGTTGCACTTTTTAATACTGTGGTCCAGACAGGCCTTATTGCAAAGATGACATAAGGAAACTTACCTGGCAGAAGATTGTTTCAGATGGACAGAATAGCTGATGCAAAGGAGAAGGAGGAGGGCGTGAAGTCAGTCCCGTTTGTTCCCTTTCCCGGTCCGTTCTCCGTTCCTCCCAGAAGCATTGGTACTGTGAAGTAGATGTATATCCTTCTAGTCTTTGTTTTTATACATTTACTGCCATAAACAATATTTAGTATTTAGTCGTTCTTGATTTATATAAATAATGCCATACTGGCTGGGCATGGTGGCTCATGCCTATAATCCCAGCACTTTGAGAGGTCGAGGAGGGTGGATTACTTAAGGCCAGGAATTAGAGACTGGTGTGGGCAACACAGTAAAACCCCATCTCTACAAAAATACAAAAATTAGGCGTGGTGGCATGTACCTGTAATCCCAGCTACTTGGGATTACAAGGGAGGCTGAGGCAGAATTGCTTGAACCTGGGAGGTGGAGGTTGCAGTGAGCCAAGAGTACGCCACTGCACTCCAGCGTGGGTGACAGAGCAAGACTCTATAAAAAAAAAAAATGCCATACCATGTTTGCTTTCATTCAAAATTATAAGCAAAATGTGTACATCTAGTTTATTCATTTTAACAGCTATTTAATATCTTATAAATATGCCAGTTTCTTTTTCTATTACAGAGTTGCATTAACAACCTTCATACACATTTAGGTATAAGTGAAAGTATTTTTAGGCTTTGTATCTAGAAGCATATAAATAGCTAGGCTGTTTATATGCATTTTCAACTTTATTAGATATTGCCAAATTATCATTAAATTGCTCACATCAACAGTGTGTTAAAGGTACTATTTCTTCCTGTCCTCACCAACCCTTGGTATTGTCAGTCTTTCATTTTTCCAGGTGGATGGAGTGAATTATTGTCTTTATATTAATTTCTCAAATTATTAGTGAGAATCAGCTCCTTTTCAAATGTTTATTGGCCATTTCAAATTTCCTCCCATATAAATTCCCTGTTCATATCTTCCACCCCATTTATTTATTTAGCTGACGTTTTCTTATTGATTTACATCATTTTTTAATTTAGAGTGATCTTTCTAAATGCTTTCTGAGAAACCAAGATGACTGTAGGGTTTTTTGTTGCCATTTATGGCTAAGTGATAAAATTTATTTTTAAACTTTTCTTTAATAAAGACCTATTCTTAAGCCAACTCTAATTTCTGTAAATTAGGGATTATAGCATCCCTTAAATGCCTGCTACCAACCTAGCACCAGATGGAAGGGTACAGAAGATGAAGTAAAATTAAAATCAGAAATTGCTTACCTTAAGCCAAACGCAACAGCATGTATCTGTAATCCCAGCTATTCAAGAGACTGAGTCTGGATCTCTTGAGCCCAGGAGTTCAAGGCTATAGTGCACTGATTGTGCCTGTGAAGAGCCACTGCACCCCAGCCCAGGCAACATAACAAGACCCTGTTTCTAAAAAAAGAGAGAGAGAGAGAGAAGAAAAAGAAAAAAAATGAAAAGAAAAGAGAAGAGAAATTGCTTGGTTAGGGAAAAGCATAGAGAATATGATGAGTATATGTGTTGGGGGTGTATGTGTTTTAAGCAAGATAGTTTCCCATGTTGTTCCTATATTCTCATCTTGTCTAGTAGTAATATTATTAAAAACGTATCAGAGTGGGGCTGGAACACTTTCTTTTGAGATGGCCATTATCAGATAGTGACTACTGAGCCACATTATTATACTATTGACCCTTTCCTGTCAAATATAACAAGTATTTTTTAAAAAATAGTGCTTCTTTGGCACATTATTATAAATCTGATGTTATCTAGAAAGAAACAGAACGTTTATTTATTTAAAGGTAACACTCCTTGGATAAATTTTATCTATATTTCAGGTTAACAAATAGAAATATTATACACAAACCTGCGGAATGGACTTTAATTGCTATGGTGTTGCTGTCATTGTAAGTACTCTCTCAGATTTTAACTCTAAATACTGACTGTGAAGAATACTGATTAGGGAAAAACAAAATGATCCACTGATCTTTGTAAACTGCCTTGGAAAACATTATTTCTCTATTTTGTGCCTTATTTTCCTTTCATATGTAATAAAACAATTTTTATATAAAGTGATACGTAATTATTCTCTTCATATTTTTTACCATCTTTTTTTCTGAATACCTTATTCTTTACAAATACTATTTGTTTTCATCTTTTTTTTTTTTTTTTTTTTTTTTGAGGCAGGGTCTCACTCTGTTGCCCAGGCTGGAGTGGAGTGGCATGATCTTGGCTCACTGCAACTTCTGCATCCCAGGCTCAAGCTCTTCTCCCACCTCAGTCTCTCAAGTGGCTGGGACTCCAGGCACACGCCCCCAAGGCCTGGCTTATTTTTGCTTTTTTTTTTTTGTAGACGCAGTGACTCGCTATATTGCCCAGGCTTGTCTCCAACTTCTGGACTCAGAGATCCACCTACCTCTACCTCCCAAAGTGCTAGGATTATAAGCGTGAGCCACCACACCCTGCCTGTTATCATCTTTGAAAGAGACAAACATCCCCATTTGGGGTATGTACAGAATAGTCTTTTAGTTTCATTTTTAGTAGTCCATTTTATTAACATTGAATGAGCTTCCTTATTTTACATCTGTATTTTTACAAATCTAATACTATATTGTTTTTCAACATATACTTTATTAGCATCAAAAAGTTTTTCAAATTAATGTACATTTTTAAAATCTGACAGATTTAAAGGAACTAAACTAGATGCTTGCTACAAAAGCATACATAAAACATTTAATACTCATTCAGCTTTTAGGAAACCATTAGTGGTTTCTAAGGCTATTTATTAATAAGGTTAAAACTATTTAGTAAGTGTAGTGTTTTTCAGCTTGAATTATGAAATAATTCTTTTGAGGATCATTCATTATTGCATTACTCTTGCTGCTTGGTGCCTGTTAGAGGTCATTGAAGCCCATAGGACATTGAAAACTTACCAGACACTCACAAGTCAAAAAGTGTTATGAATCAATCTCATAGCCTCTCCAGCCCTGCTTTATCTTTCTTTGATATTACTTCAGCCTGACATGTTATTCTGGCTTTACTGTCCCAAGGAAGGCTGTGCTGAGAAGCATTAGAGTAGGCTTCAGTGAGCCAGAATCTGTGTCACCCAACCAGATACAACTCACATGATTCATTAAATCAGAACACAGAAAATAACTTTACTTGAATGCCCTAATATAAATTTTTTATCAACCATAAGAACAAATCTTTTGTCATTTCTACTATTCAGTGTTCCAGCTGAATTGGTAATTTGTGAAACAGATCTTATTAATTTTTTAGAAAGTTCTTTCCATTTTATGAAATTTGTAAATATTTTGGTCATTGGCAAAGAAAATATCAGTATCTCTGCTTACCCACCATATCATATGCCTGCTAATAAATCCTTATAAACAACTTGCTGTACTTCTGCAATTCATTATACTAAAGAAAGAAGTAACTTTTTTGGATTGACAATTCAGAGGCCTAGGCCCGGCAGTAATCTCAGAATCTTGCTTTCTAAGCCACTTACTGAAGATACTATCATCATGAGCACTGCTTACTGAGGGGACACATTAAGTCTTACTGTTTTTGGATTAAATTTTTGCCACATCTTATCTAAAATATATAGCAAAGAACTGAAAAGTGTGGAAAATGAAATAATAAAGTCTACCATTAAAATTTCATATGATTATTCCATACAAAAATAAACCTCTCCAGTGTTTGATTTTAATAGAGGCATCCATGTGGCACAAAATACTGAAGCTTTGCTAGTTCTTTTATGCAGTCTGACTTCTTTAACTTTGGATATGATGTAGGGAATCTCTTATTTCAACTCAGTGACCCATAAAAATAGTGCTTTAATTGAATTCATGAAACAAATTGCACACATTTTAGTGTAGTGTGTCGCATGTTCCATATTGAACAATCAATCTGGAAGTTGTAGCAGTAAACGCTATTTGCTTTTGTCATTCACCTTGCATCACTCCTCTCTTTTATTATGCCCTATTCCCTACCACTAGATATAACCTTCCTACTAGTCATTGGTCAACTGGACAACTAAAATCTTCCTCAGTTAGGGCCCTTTTGGCTTCTTTAAAAATCTTTGGTCACTATAGACACCAAGACAAGTGGTATTTCCTAGGTTTTTGCCTTTGAAATCTTGTGTTCTCATAATTCTAACTTCTGCTCTAGGCCCTTCTTGCAGATCCTTTTCATTCTGCATTTGCACATTCTGTATCTTCACTAGCTGAATCTCCCTATTCTTTTGATCATCAGCTTCTAAGACTTCTGTCTTCTGCCCTGTATTATTTTCCTGTTTCCTCTTTTTTCAGAAATTCCCCTTTAGCTTTTCATATTTCTGCTCCCACTGGAAATCTGTGGCTCAACTGATAGACTTTTTTTTATCTCCAGCTTTGTCTATTTGTCACCTTTTTACAGCAAATACTACTATACAAGTTAGGGATAAAATTAAAATACATATTCATCATGCTAAAACTCCATTGACTTCTACAAAGTATAATTATACTCTGTGTATTTCCACCCCTTTCTCCCCCTTACAGTTTCACAATTACTTTTTAGAGAAGGCATTTTGTCATTGGGAAAAGAAAAAGCAGGCATAAGGACCAGCGTTGGCTAAAGAGCCTTACAGTGAAAAATATAAACATTTTAGACACCCAGAGACATGCACATATAAAGAGAAAGGAGGAGATACATACACGTATTTGTGGAGAAGTAACCTCACCTTTCAGCCTTTTAGCGTGTTGCCACTAACAATGACTATAGGCATACATGGGAATATGTCTTTTTTAAAAAAATAAGTATCCTATAATTCAGAAAACCTTCACATCTACTCTCAAATTTCCAATGGAAATTTTAAGTAACAACTTGTAGAAATTTCTGGAATTCATGTTTAAAAACAAACTGCTTATAAGTTCTATAGCTAGGCAAAAGATTCTAAATGGCAGTTGTCACTGAAGATGAATATAAGATAATACGTTCAGTATTAGTATTCTTTATGTATATTGCTAAGTTTTTTTTTTGTTTTTTTTTTTTTGAGACAGAGTTTCACTCTTGTTACCCAGGCTGGAGTGCAATGGCGCGATCTCGGCTCACCGCAACCTCCGCCTCCTGGGTTCAGGCAATTCTCCTGCCTCAGCCTCCTGAGTAGCTGGGATTACAGGCACACGCCACCATGCCCAGACAATTTTTTGTATTTTTAGTAGAGACGGGATTTCACCCTGTTGACCAGGATGGTCTCGATCTCTTGACCTCCTGATCCACCCGCCTCGGCCTCCCAAAGTGCTGGGATTACAGGCTTGAGCCACCGCACCCGGCCCTAATTTTCTTATTACTATAATAGCATTTGTTTAATCCATGAAAGCTGTTTTCAGAATTTCTCATGTGAATTCTTAGAAGAGGATATATACATATACCCATATATTATATGTTAGTATGTTGCTAAACTGCCTCAAGTCTTAATTGTTGTTAAAGGGGGAAAAAAATCAACATTTTGACCAAAACATGATAGTCCAAAACAAAATAAATAAAACTGAGTCTTGAATTTTCACACCAAAAGTAAATAAGCTGTTTTGGTAGCAAGTCATCTTCTCCTGGAGGCTTTCATTGTACTTTCACAGATGTATTAACATTTTCTACATCTGTGCCAGGTGCAGTGGCTCATGCCTATAATCCTGGCATTTTGGGAGGCCAAGGCAGGAGGATTGCTTAAGCCCATGTGTTCAAGACCAGCCTGAACAACATAGTGAGACCCTGTCTCTACAAAAAATAAAAACATGAGGTAGGCATGATGGCACGTATCTGTAGTCCTAGCTACCAGGGAGGCTGAGGTGGAAGGATTGCTTGAGCTGAGGAGATCAAGGCTGCAGTGAGCCATAATCGTGCCACTACACTCAAGCCTGGGTGACAAAGCAACACCCTGTCTCAAATAATAATAATTTGGACCATAACATGTAATTTATCCATGTATACTGATGGAAATTGTATTTGCATATTTCAGAAAAAAATCTGATCAAATAGAGTTGGTACAGTTGATCATTGCACACTCAGTGAAATGCATCCCATGTGAAAATACATCATGACCCATTTCCACTTTATTTACATTTCTCACTGATTCCATGGGACTTGAATTACTATTGTGATTGCAACATTTATTGATACTTATACTATGAATTCAGACCCTAAGTGGTTACCCAAGAGCACATGGAAGAAAGACCTTTTTTTTTTTGAGATGGAGTGTCACTCTGTCGCCCAGGCTGGAGTGCAGTGGTGCAATCTTAGCTCACTGCAGCCTCTGCCTCCCAGGTTCAAGCAATGCTCCTGCCTTAACCTCCCGAGTAGCTGAGACTATAGGCACGCACCACCATGCCCGGCTAATTTTTTGTATTTTTAGTAGATACGGGGTTTCACCATGTTGGCCAGGATGGTCTTGATCTCCTGACCTCGTAATCCACCCACCTCACCCTCCCAAAGTGCTGGGATTATGGGCATGAGCCACCGTGCCCTGCTGAAAAGACCTTTTAAAGCAGAGCTAAAGCTCTATACATTTATGAAGAAATTAATGTACCTTTAATTCCTTTTAAAATGTCCTCTCATTCTTATTTAATAAATGTTATAATTAAACTCTCAAGCACTCTACATATAGAAGAGCATTTATAATGGTGATAACTGATCTTTTTTTTTTCAAAGAACTCATCAGAAATGCAACAAAACAACCTGATAATTGCTCAGATTTATTGCTTCAGTACTTGGTTGTAATTTTGCATCTTAGCTGAAGTTTACCAGACTTTACTCTTGTATCTGATTTTTTTTCCTGGAAAAGGTACCATATAGTGAAATAGTATAGAGTTGAACCTGATTTTCTCAACTAAATATGCCGTAGTGAGATACTAGACTCTCTCCACAATCTTTG